TTGTAATAAGTTTTAAAATTAGGAGGTGTAAATCTTCTAACTTTGTTTTTCTTTTTCAGTACTTTTTTTGCTAGTCAGGGCCTTGATTTTCCATTTCTACAGAAAAGGTCATTGGTATTTTGGTGAAGATTGGATTGCACCTGTAGACTTTGGGGAGTACTCCATCTTAACAATGTTAAATCTCCCTATCCATGAACATGGGATATCTTTCCATTTATTTAGTCCTTTAATTTCTTTCAGCAATGTTTTGTAGCTTTCAGTGTACAAGTGTTTCACCTCCTTGGTTAAATTTATTCCTAAATATTTTATTCTTTTGGATGCTCTGTATTAGTCTTCTCTGGCTGCTGTAACAAAATATGACAGATAATAATAAGACACCAAAATATGGGTGTCTTAAACAATATAAATTTATTTTCTCATAGTTCTGGAGGCTGGAAGTCTGAGATCAGGGTGCCAGTATGGTTGGTTTCTGGTGACAGCTTTCTTTCTGGCTTGTAGATGGCCACCTTTTCCCTGTGTCCTCACATGGCCTTTCTTGGTGTCTATGTGCAGAGAGAGAGAGAGAGAATGCTCTTTGGTGTCTCTTCTTATGAGGACACTAATCCTATTGGATCAGGGACTCACTCTTATTTAATCTTATTTACTTGTTTAATCTTCCTTAGAGGCTCCATCTCTAAATACAGCCACACTGGGGGGCTAGGGCTTCACCATATGAATTCCCCCAAACACAAATATTCAGTCCAGAACAGATCCAATCCTGAACGGAATTATTTTTTTAATTTCCTTTTCAGATTACTCTTCCAGGCTTTTACAACTAGTGGCCACTCCTTTGGAGCCGCTGTTACCAGTTTCCTGTGAATCTCCTTCCCCACCTCCTTTCTGTCTGTCTTTGTTTCTGTCTGCAACTTGCGTTGTCTGCAACTTTTTTTCTCCACCTGATTTATTGACAACTGTTAAACATTAAGTGTCTAAAATGTGCCTAGTGATATGTCAAGCAACATGGGAAGCAATAAAGAAGTATGATGTGGTTCCTGCCCTCAAAGATTTTCCATCTAGTTGAGGAGAAAAGACATAACTAGGGAGCAATTTATAAGCAACTCCACTGTGTGGCTCATGCATTAAGATGTAAAGTCTCTAAGGGTAGGTGTTCCTGCTGTGCTCACAGTTGTATCCTCAGCCCCAAGATCAGTATAGGAGGAACAGGACATGAGCTCAATAAATGAATGTTGAGTGAATTCACCACTCTCCCCCTTCAGAATCTCACTTGGTGGAAGCTACCCCTCCCATTCATCCTGGAAGATGATCCCTAGGGGACTGTGTTCTGCAAAGTGGCACTTGGACAAGGATCTATCTGAGAACCTTGGGGCTCTCAAACTGGCTCAGGTTACGGCCTGATGGTAGGTTCACAGACACAGCTTACTCTTTCAGCAAGTATTCTGGTGTCTTTCTAAAATAAGTTCTTACATAAATAGATACTAGTTAAGTTCCACTGAGTCAACTGAGAAGAGGAATATGAAAGAAGAGGGAAGAAAGCATGGCCTACGCAAAGGGGGAAATGTCTCAGAAACCTGCAAATTGACAGCCAGGGAGAGGTGCCAGAGGCTTTGGATTCCAGAGAAGAAGCCGGTCCCCAAGTAAATGATTATTGCTCTAGTCTTTTAAAACATGATTTTTTTTTTCTGATTCCAAGATCATGGAAGAAAATCTGAAAAACAAATTACAGTATAAAGAAGGAAGTAACCTATCTACAAACCATGACTCAGCGATAACCTCTATCTGCATTTTTATAAAACTGTTGCATGTAATTGTATTTGAACTTAATACAAGGAAAAGAAACCACACTTCAGATAAGTATTTTTTTCAAAATGAGATATTGTTCCTTAAGAAGAGTCCTCTAAAATTAAGGAATTAGAGTTGTATTAAAAGGTTGGAGTTACAAAACAACAACAAATAAACCACCACCACCAACAACAACAAAAAGGTTGGGGTTATTGTGGAGGTTCTCAACCTGTGTGATTTTGCCCCTCTGGGGACATTTTGGCAATGTCTGGAGATGTTTTTGATTGTCACAACTTTGAGGGCAGAGAGATGCTCGTGGGTAAAGGCCAAGGATACTGCTAAACATCCTACAGTGCACAGGACAGTCCACTGCAATAAAGAATCATCCAGCCCCAAATGTCAGTAGTGCAGTGAGGAACCCTGATTTATTGCATAGTTGTGTTGGTTTTAAATAGTGCATATTTTTAAAGGGCCTAAGTTTGTTCCTGCTTAGTAGGATATAGTCAGTTTTCTCAGGGATCAGTAGGGTAAGTGGTTGAGAGCATGACCTCAGTCTAGGTGGTCTTAGTTTGAATTCTAACTCTTCTTCTTCCCAGTAATGTGACCTTGGGCAACCTCCTTGGGCCTGAGTTCCCTCATCTAGAAAATTGTGGTAATGTTACAGCCCCCTCATACAGTGTAGTGAGGACTGAATTTCTAAATAAGTAAAGTGCTTGGAACGCTGTCTGGTTTATGCTAAGCTCCATGGAAATATTTACTGTTATTATCATTATTATTATGTCATTAATATCATTAATAAACCAACTGGAAACACAAATTAAAACTTACGTTTAGGATAATTCTCCTAAGGGATTCGGTACAGGAAAACAGACATATTAGGACTTTCAACTTTTTTTTTTTTTTTTTAAGAGCCGGAGAGAGGGGCATTGCACAGAGGGAGAGGGAGAGGGAGAGAAAGAATCCCAAGCAGGCTCCACACCCATTGCAGAGCCCATCGTGAGGCTCAGTCCCACAACCCTGAGATTTTGACCTGAGCTGAAATCAAGAGCTGGAACATAACCAACTGGGCCACCCAGGCGCCCCCATATAAGTACTTTTAAAAAAATGGAACCTTTACGAGAAATAAACAACGTGAGTAAAGCTAGGGCCCAGTTACAAATCTAAGAAGTATGTACATGAATTGAGAGGTTTGGCAAGCCTTTCTGCTTTCTGGAATTACCTGATCAATGGCAGGTGACTCATTATTTCACAAGGCACTTTCTCTTTGTCCCTTTAGATTTGAAAAATTTGAATTCATTCTCAGTTCAAAACTCAAAGCAATGTGACAAGATACACATTGTGCAGTCTTGCCTCTCACTGCAGTCCCCTCCACCCGCCCATAGGTAGTAACTTTAATTAGTTTCTGATGTATCAACCCGGTGTTTCTTTATAAAAGCAAATATAAATGCTGTATATTCTTATTTGGCCTCCCTTTCTTAAACAGAAGATATCATACTTTTCCATTTAACAGTCTACCTTGGTTATCTGTCTTTCCACATTACAATCCATCTTTCCATATTATTACACCAGAAGCTGCTTCATCCTCTTTTAAGGTGACATAGTATTCCATTATGTAGACATCCATATTTTGTTTATAAATGTATTTGTAATTTTTATAAATATTAGCAAATTGTCCTCGATGTGGGTTTGTGTCATTTTAAACTCCCACCAGCAATGTATGAATATGCCTATTTTTCTCCAAGAATCACTGTAGTTTCCAGACAACCATCTGTTCAAAACCAGACCACACTGGCAGGCATTACTGGGAGGTAGAAGTGGGAAACAAAACTAAAAAGATGCTGGAGGTTTGTCGAGGCTGTTTTCCTAGAACCTGACAGAATCAGCTGTTAGTTCAGGATGGATTCTGGGCAACTGGGTAATATATTGAGGGCAATTGGGTCACATTGGTCCTGGGAGAATCTAGTTTTTAATGTCAATAGTAAAACGCAGGAAGATTGCTGTTTTTCTGGACCAAGAGCTGGGTGAAGGTTCTTTCTATGGTTTGAATGAAAGATCTCTTCCCTATAATTTGAACACATCTTTTACAGAAATGCTTTGGTCTAATTTCTGTACTGGAGCAGATTCTGATCCTCTTAACATCTTTTCAGTAAAACAGATTATGAAAGATGAAGTACCTGGGAAAACACTATGTTTCATATTCTTTAAGTTTATAGGTGTAACTTAGCCAGTAAATTTAGCCTCAGTATTTGTGGATTCTTCTTAAGTTTTACCCCCCAAACCCAAAATATATTTATTTCCCCCTCATTTTCGACAACTCTAAAAACATTATACTCATGTCAATTTCATAGATGCTATGGGTATCAATTGTCAAGTGCTTTAGAAATTCTAAGATAAAATATTTGAGAATCATATTACTTAACACAGCTAATAAATTTTTTTATTTAAAAAAAATTCATACCAGGGTGCCTGGGTGGCATAGTCGGTTAAGTGTCTGACTCTTGGTTTTGGCTCAGGGTCCTGGGATCGAGCCCCTCATCGGGCTCTGAGCCCAGCATGGAGTCTGCTTGAGATTCTCTCTCTCTCTCTCTCTCTCCCTCTGCCCCTCCCGCTTGTACTGTCCCTCTCTCTCAAAATAAATAAATAAAGCAAATAAATAAATACATAAAAATCATACCACAAAGTGTACTTCATATTTGAATCTTGGCTTTCTCATTCAGCTTCTTGCTTTTCCTGGAGTTTCTATTGTGTTTCTTTTTTCTTATTGATTATATGAGAAATTTATCTTTATCTCATTGACAGCAAGCTGCATTAGATTTAAATGCTTCTATGAAGGAGCTGTGGGCATTCTACTCTACCTTGCTAAAGGGTTCAATTTCTCTAAAACCTTGGACCCCAAATATCTATACCTCAATACAGACCCCAGTTTGCCACATATCCCTTTTTTTTTTTAAATTTCATTTCTCTAAGGACTTCAACTCCCCCAGTTCCACCAGATGCTCAGCGCTCTCAGTATTCCAACTCCTGTGTACCCATGTTTTTCGGTGTTCTCCTTTGAGAACCCGAAAAAGGGCCATCCTAGTGCCTACCTCCTATAGAATGTGCTTTTGCCCAGCCCACTTACTCTGGTGTGACTGTCAGATACTCCCTGATCCCATCTCCTCTCTAGTAAATGCCTGCCTGGATAGGCCATGGTTATTCAGCTTTTTGGTTGAACCCCACAGGTGCTGAACAAGGCCAAGTATGGTCCAATGTGGGTGACCCGCATAGGGCCTCAGAGCCTGGTGAACCTGGCCAGTGCCCCCCTCCTGGAGCAAGTGATGCGGCAAGAGGGCAAGTACCCAGTACGGCACGACATGGAACTATGGAAGGAGCACCGGCACCAGCAGGGCCTGGCCTATGGGCCCTTCACCACGTGAGCTGGGGCCTGAAGGGATTGGTGCAAGGCCTTAGAGGGCCAGGCCCAAGGACAGTGGTATTGGGAAACCGGTGGATAATGGGCAGAGTGGGCTCTCCCTGCATCCTCTGAGCCTGATACTCAGTCTAGAACGCAGTGGTTGGGATGGGCTGAAGCCCAGGGACCATTCATTATAACTTTTCCCTTAGTATATTGTATAACTTTGGACAAAGGAATAATTTCCTCCTTCCTTGACCTTGTGTTTCTCATATGTAAAATGAGAAGTTTGGAGTGGCATATCTCCAAACTATCTCCAGGACTTTTCCAGCTCCATTATTCTCCATTGTAGTTGAAAGTATACCAACTTGAATCATAATAGGACGTATCTGTTTATAGTTGAAAAAACATCATCACCATACTAGTTAGGAAGGCTGCATTTAACTTTAAAAATATTTCCTAAATTATGTATTACAGGTTTGTTGTTGGATGTAACTTTCACAGATGCTCTGCATACACAGACAGATGTAGGTTTCTGCCTTGAATTTACACCCAGAAAAGTTAAGATTATTTTGGCAGTGCCAAATTCAAGGATGGGCTGCATGTGTTATATACGCATATGCCAACTGAGGTAAACCATTGAGAATCATTGGTGATGAGCCATTCCTGATGCTACAGGTTGTAACTGGGTCTGTTACAGGGTTTTTAAAAAATTGTTTTTTATTTTAATCCCAGTATTGTTCACATACAGTGTTATATTAGTCTCAGATGTACACTATAGTGATTCAACAATTCTATATGATACTCAGTGCTCATCAGGATAAGTGTACACTTTAATCCCCATCACCTCTTTCACCCTATTACAGATTTCTTTTTGCTGTAGTATGTTAATAGAGCTCCAAAAATAATGAAAGACTTATTTTCCCTAGTTGCTTGACATCTCATGCTTTCATCATTTCTTAAGGGATTAAAGTTGATCCTGATGGTGGTTATAGTAGCGGGACCAATGATAATAGCTAAGCAGGTGTTAATAACATGCCAGGTATTAGGCTAGTCTTTTCATATTTATCATTTCATTTTATTCTCACAACAAGTCCCTGAAGTAGATAGTGTGATTATCCCCTTTTATAGATGAAGAACCTGAAGCCTGGAGAGGTTTTGGCATCTCTTGCCACTAGTAAGTGGTGGAATCGATCTCTCTGATTCTGAAAGTTAAGAACTTAATGCCTTGATACTTTTGTAAAGGAAGCGAACCGGTTGGAGGGTGCATTTCATCTGTCTTTGAGGGTGCATTTCATTTGTCTTTGATGCCTCTATGTTCATTCTCCCATCGCATGTTTGTTTCTTTTTTGTGGTTCCTTCACAGGTGGACAGTTTCAGAACTGCAACAATTAATGAGCCCTTTATTCAAAGTTGCGAAGAGAATCGAGTGTCTGTCCTTCCAGAGCTCTTTAACTTGATGTCTGGCCCTGAGGGCAGGACTTGGGTCTTAGGTTTTCACCAGGTCAGCTCACCACTAGAGTTGATGGCTCAGGATTTAGAATTGGAGCTGAACATTATGTACACCCGTATTTATCTATTTATAGTTTTTCACTCTACAGCCAATTTCCTAATTATATTATACCATATATGTGTATTTTAAAGCTATTTTGCTAACCAATGATAAGTTCTTTTTGCTTTAACATATATATGTGTGTGTGTATATATATACATTTTTTTAAATCTCATTTTATGAAGCATTTTTCTCCCAGGAAATATTTTAACAACCACAGAAGTGTTCTCGTTTAAATTCTGCAAATCTGATTGCTACTATTGGGAGAATTTTTTACTCTTGGAGAAGCACCCACACCCTGAAGTTCCAGTAAATGAGTCTATTCTGGTTTTTGTTTCTTTTTCAGCAGCACTTTCAGTTGACCTTTTTGCAGCTTTTCCCAACATAACAAAGAAAACTCCTGAGGTTTGAGGTTCATTTAAATAAATACTTTTCTAAATAAAAAAAAAAAAACAATTCTTGCTGTAAGCCTTTTTAATATCTTTTTTTTTTTTTTAAGATTTTATCTATTTGACAGAGAGAAAGAGGAAGAGACAGCACAAGCAGGGGGAGGGGCAGAGGGAGAAGCAGGCTCTCTGCCGAGCAGGGAGCCCGATGCGGGGCTCGACCCCAGGACATGGTCCTGGGATCATGACCTGAGCCGAAGGCAGACGCTTAACCCACTGAGCCACCCAGGTGCCCCAATATCTTTCTTTTTAAAATACCTTATTGGTTTTTACAATTCAAAAGTAATGTTTTTTGTAAAAAGTCCAATAATAAAATATTGTCTCCCTACCGCCCACCCCCGTCCCATTCTTCTAAGTAATCCTGACAGTTTGGTGGGTCTTCTTCCCTACATTATGTGGAAACAATCGGATATACATATGGATCTATAGGGTTTCCTTTCTTCTTCCTAAAATTGGGCCATATTGTACTTACTACTCCACAGCTAGCTTTTAAAAAATTGACCCATGCCCAGCTTGCTTAGGAAAGGTAACAGGTTTGGGGGACAGCTGTGGGTGGGGACAGTCCCTGCACCTGAAGCCCCCTGTGGGAAGCATGTTCCCACCCTCGTGAGCATCCCTGTCTAACCAGGGTGGGGACCCAACCCCCTCCCTGGATGACTGTAGCAAGAGGACCTGGGGCATCAGCCTGGTGGGTCTCCCTGTCCCTTTGGCTCACTGAGCCAAGCAGAGCATGAAGGTCCAGAATCTGAGCTTCTCAGGAACCCTAATTTGCTCCTCCTTTCTTCCTCATCCTCCACACAGAAGGACTGGAACGACTGCATTTCCTCCTCATTTCACATACAGAAGATTCCGGAGTTGTGTCATCCTAAGATAATCATAGTCAACATTCATTAAGCATTAAGCACATAACCATGTGCCAGGCTCTGATCTAAGCACTGTAATCGTCCGAAGAACCCTACTAAGATAGGCACACTTATTATTCCCATTTCACTGAAGGGGAAACTGAGGCACAGAGGAGTTAAGTCACCTGCCTAAGGTCACTCAGCCAGTAATCATCAGACCTGTCATTTGGCCCTAGGTAGTCTGGCTCCAGATGCCCACCTTGACTACTTCCACGATGCTGTAGTGAGACTCTGAAGTTTTGTGATTTGAAGATTCTGGTCTTTGAAGTTCAGTGATTCTATAATTCTAAATCTAGGAGTCTGAGATTTTCCTAGACTCTGCTGGGGTCTCAGGGCAGGGGGAAGAAGAATCCATCTCATCTAACCTCCATCAGCTACTTACAAGTGTGCGCTTTCTCCATTCTCCATAGGGAAGGACTGCAGTGGTACCAGCTGCGTCACACTCTGAATCAGCGGATGCTGAAGCCAGGGGAGGCTGCGCTCTACACCGATGTCGTGAATGAGGTGATCGACGACTTCATGGCCCATCTGAACCGGCTGTTGGCAGAGAGTGCCTCAGGGGACCAGGTGTTGGACATGGCTCACCATTTCTACTACTTCGCTTTGGAAGGTGCCTTGTTGGGAGAGGGGCTGGGGTGGGCAGGGGCAGAGGCAGGTTGTGCTCCCCCTCCTCAAGCCCCCCCGGATTCCAGGTGCCATGACATTGCCACCTTTGACGGCCTCTGTGCACTGGCAGCTATTTGCTACATCCTGTTTGAGAAACGTATCGGCTGCCTGGAGCGCCCCATCCCCCAGGACACGGTGGCCTTCGTCACATCTGTCGGGCTCATGTTCCAGAACTCAGTCTATGTCACCTTCCTCCCCAAGTGGACCCGTTCCCTGCTGCCTTTCTGGAAGCGCTATCTGGATGGCTGGAACACCATCTTCTCTTTTGGTGAGGAGGCCAGGGAAGGAAGTGGCAGGGGTAGGATTGGGGGTGGGGGAGTGGGTTCCAGCGTCTGTGCCATCAGCAGTCTCTCCCAGGACCTTCTACCTCATTGCTACCAGCTGTCAGAGTGGCTCTTGGTCCTTGGAGATCATGGCTTTTGACCTTGCCCCCCTTTGTTCTCCATTGTCCCTCTAGGGAAGAAGCTGATTGATCAGAAACTCAAGGAAATCGAGATCCAGCTGCAGACCAAGGGGCCAGATGAAGTCCAGATATCTGGCTACCTGCACTTCCTGCTGACCAGAGGACAGCTCAGTACTCACGAGGCCATGGGCAGCCTGCCTGAGCTGCTCCTGGCGGGCGTAGATACGGTGCGTGAGGGGGGTCAGCGAGGAGACCAGGGACTCCCAGCTCCTATCCTGAACCAATTCCCCATTACCCTCACCTGAGCCTGACCTTCGTCCCTCCAGGTACCTGCTTTTCTCTTTCTGTATCCTAGATGTAGAGCTAGAAGGAAAAAGGGTAGCGGGGGGGGGGTCATTCAACCTGGCAGAGGCGGGCAGTGAAGCGTCCTTTTGTAAGAGGGATCTCATCACGTCCTGGAGCCTCTCTCGGCCAGCTAGAAGTTTCCTCTCCCATCTATTTAAGGTGTAACTTAAGTGGAGAGCTCTGTTCTCTCTGTTCCAATCTCCTTGTTGTTAGAGCATGATTCTCCGTCTTGTGGGTCCTCACCCTGCCGTGGAGTCACGCTCAGCAGGGAGAGTCCCCATGAGCCCCTGTGTCTGTTTCTGCCATGCTCGTGGCAAATTCATTTTTTGGTGCATGCCCACTCACCCTCCCACTACCTCACTCGCCTTTTGCCTAGAAATCCCTCCTCACTTCATCTCTCCCTCTGCCTCCCAGACATCCAACACGATGACGTGGGCCCTGTACCATCTTTCAAAGAACCCAGAGATCCAGGCTGACTTGCATAAGGAGGTGGTGGGTGTGGTACCAGCCGGGCAGGTGCCCCAGCACAAGGACTTTGCCCACATGCCCCTGCTCAAAGCCGTGCTTAAGGAGACCCTGCGGTAGGTGGTGGTTCCCGGGAGCGCAGGGTCTGTGCAGAGGAGGACTCAGGGACAGGAGTCGGGAGTGGGGGCTGGTGGGCTAGAGCTAGGGCTAGGGCCAGGGGTGAGGTGGGAAGAAGGACCTCGGGGACCAGAGGCAAACCTGCACCTTCTTTTCCCTGCAGCCTCTACCCTGTGGTCCCCATGAACTCCCGGGTCGTCACAGAAAAGGAAATCGAAGTCAATGGCTTCCTCTTCCCCAAGAACGTGAGTGGGGCTGAAGAGCTGGGATTCCCAGGGCTGCGCTGTAGCCCTAAGCTGATGTGCTGCCCCTTCTGGCCCTGCAGACCCAGTTTGTCTTCTGTCACTATGTGGTGTCCCGTGACCCTGACATCTTCCCCGAGCCAGAGAGCTTCCAGCCTTACCGCTGGCTGAGGAAGAGCCAGCCTGCTGCCCCTGGGGTCCAGCATCCATTTGGCTCTGTGCCCTTTGGCTATGGGGTCCGGGCTTGCCTGGGCCGCAGGATTGCGGAGCTGGAGATGCAGCTGCTGCTGTCAAGGGTGAGTGGGGAGAAGCTGCAGGGCTGGTGGAGAGCAGGGGGAGGAGCATGTAAAGGAGGGCAGTGGATAGAGATCACAGATTTTAACGCCCCGCATGCGCTCTCTCCCAGCTGATCCAGCAGTACGAGGTGGTCCTGGCCCCCGAGACCGGGGAGGTGAGGAGCATGGCCCGCATTGTCCTGGTTCCCAATAAGAAGGTGAGCCTGCATTTCCGGCAGAGGAAGTGCTGAGCTGGGCCCGTGCCTCCTGGGAGGAGCCCCCTTCTCTCTCCCTGGTGCACTCATTCCTAGCCACTGCTGTGTCTCAGACCAGAAGGGGGAGAAGGTGGCTGCCAGACACCGGAGATCGAAGAAACTCAGTGCACTTTCTGTAGAACCCTGAGCTTTTGCCACTTTGATCACTTTGAATGTCTCCTTCTCAGATAAAAGGCCACCCCCATGTCACATTGCTCTCCTTGGAGAAAATACAGAATAAAGGGACTTCTATTGATAATTGGAGACCTTTGTCATTCTCTTTGATGACCCAGCATCTGAGCCCCTTGCTGTGTTTGGGGAACAGCCTCTCCCCACTTAGGGATCTTGTGGGACACAGAGCCCTCTCCCTCCGTGGAAAGTGAGAACACCTGTGCTTTCCTGGACCTCACAGAGAGGCCTTCGCTTCAGCTGGTGCTGCTGAAGCCCAGCCTGAGAAGGACCTGCAGAACAATCCTCTGGACCCCAAGAGGGGCCCCCTCTTTTGAACACAAAGTGCTTTGATATAGGCAGTGAAGTGCTGCCAGAATGTATGGAGGCGTTCTCGGCTGGATCTACAGCAACGGCTCCCGGGGCGCCCATCAGCCTGGGAAGCACCAGGTTGGCCGCCCTCAGGAGCATGAGTGTCGCAAAGCTGTCGCCACAGCTGTGGGCCCCAGTGCGCCTCCGTGTCCCCGGGGTCAGTGCTGCCGGTGGGGAGAAAAAGCGTCCTCCCTGCCCCCACTCCTGGCCCATGACTGCCTCTCCCCCGGCCCCCCGCAAGGTGACAGCAGCAGCGACCTCAGGAGGAGCAGAAGCATGGCCTCTGTCCTGCTACCCCCTTCCACTGACATCTCACATACAACCGAGAGGTGGAACCCAAGGCAGGCCTGGAACCCGAGCTGCAGGGCAGTATGGGGATTGTAGTTCTCAGCTTTCCAGCCTCTTCAGCACAGGAAGCCGACCAGAAGGAAAGCGGGCTGGCGCGGAGACCGAGTGCACCGCGGGTTTGAGGAGGCGATGAGCCCCAGCCTCACAGACTCCCAGCCCCGGTGGTAAATTTCTGCTGGGTCATAGAAGACTAAAGTATTTCTTATGTTGGTGAGATTAAAAAAAAAAAAAATGTCATTGTCCTTATTAAAATCCTTCAGTGGCTTCTCTCAGCCCTGAAGCAAAGTCCTAAGTCCTTACTCTGGCATGGAAGACTCTGGCACCCTGCCCTCCACCCCTACTCCCTGCCCAGACACCCTTTCCACAGCCTAACCCCAATTCCTTGTATAGACCTGAGCACATTCCACTCTTTCTGGCCTCAATACTTTGTTCTTAATGTCCCCTCTCCTTGGAACACTCTTTTCAGCAACTGTGATGCCATCCCAGAGAACTTGCTCTTCTTAGGGCTCAGCTCAAATGTCACTGCCTTTGAATAAGCCTCCCCTGACCTCTCTGGGGGAGCATAAGCACTCCCTTTGTGTTCCCCGCCTCCCGCCCCCCATGTTACAGAACTGAGCGCTCAGCCTGTTGACCATGGAGACCCGACTGTCTCCCCAACCAGCTGTGCACCCCCTGGAGGGCACAAATCAAGCTCCTTTCAGTTTTGGATCCCGGTGACCAACCCTGTGTCTAGCCCCTAGGAGGCGATTAATAAATGTTTGTTGGATGAGAAGAGGCTGCAATAGTAGGCAGGGGAAGGAAGAAGAGGGGACGATGCAGAGCTTTTCCTACGGAGTCCGGAAATCTGGAGAGAGTTGGGAGGAATTCCTGATTATAAGGGCATAGCTCTTGACCCCACCTGTGCCAGGATTCAGCTGTGAGAGCGCCTTATACATGCAGAGCGTGGGGGCCGGGCTCAGAGGGGGCAGGGATTTCTGTCACAAAGTCAACCAGAGCCACTTATGCCTTCCCAGTGGGCTGCTCCTTCGGACCACCAGGGGTCTGCGGTCTCAGGGACCCTGCGCTGCCCACATAAGTCACAGGGAAGCCATGTTACAGCTGGGCTCCCTGATTATCCACCCTGACGTGCCTCTGTAAGGAAAGAAGAACAATAGGATTTAGGATCATTGCAGAGAAGCAAGCGAATGTTAACTCAGCACGGCAGATACACCTTCGGTTGAAAAGAATGTGCGTATCTCCTTACTGCCATTGCAGCTAATTTGAACTTGGCCAAATTAGGATCCATATTTTCGGGTAAGATCCATAATTTTGGGTAAGAAATCAGTTAGTTGGGCACCTGGGTGGCTCAGTCAATTAAGTGGCTGCCTTCGGCTCAGGTCATGATCCCAGAGTCCTGGGATCAAACCCCACATCGGGCTCCCTGTTCAGCAGGGACCCTGCTTCTCCCCTGCCTGCCGGTCCCCCTACTTGTGCTTGCTCTCTACCTCTCTCTCTCTGTGTCAAATAAATAAAATCTTAAAAAAAAAAATCAGTTTGTCTTCTTAAACAACATTTATGCAGCACTCCCAGGAGTAAAAATAGATCGAGTACTCAATGTTTTCTGGCTGTCTACATGCTCCTGTTCTATAGATGTTCTAGCTCTGGATGTAGTTTGGCTTGTTCATATTAGTTCGGTTCTAGCTTGTTATTTATGATTCCAGTTTTAAGATGCATGTCAAACAGGGCGCCTGGGTGGCTCAGTTGGTTAAGCAACTGCCTTCGGCTCAGGTCATGATCCTGGAGTTCCGGGATCGAGTCCCACATTGGGCTCCCTGCTTAGCAGGGAGTCTGCTTCTCCCTCTGACCCTCCCCGCTCTTGTGCTCTCTCTCTCATTCTCTCTCTCTCAAATAAGTAAATAAAATCTTTAAAAAAAAGATGCATGTCAAATAAAAATTCTGACAACTGTCATCATGAGATGGACATACGGGACATTGTATTGAATTCTTCTGTTTTTGTGGATGTTTGGAAGACCAGCAAGAATGCCAGCAAATCGTGTCTCTCCTACGCTGGGCCCCTGCCCTTAGCCAGCTCTTCTTGTAGATCTTAGTCATAACAAATAATATAGATGCAATAACGTGACGAATGATTTTCCTAATTATGGAAATGAGGCATCCTTATCTCTCAGCAAGCCATTGTGCTCATCACGTGTTATGCATCATAAATCTCTAGTGTCTGCAGAGAATAAATACAGTTGCCCAGGTCCCACCCCCCAAGTCAGGATATTAGCATCTCTAGGCACCGGCCCTGGAAGTTCCATCTTATAAAGCTCCCCGGGGCATCCTGTTGCCCTGCAAGGGTTGACAGCTGTTGAGATAGTGGGAGAGAAGAGAAGGGGTGGGCTGAGAAGTGGGAGAGAGTCCAGCCTGGGGGCCACAGAAACTTGGAGGGGCTTCGGAGGTCGGGGCAGGAGTCAGGGGCATGGAACCACTGATGCCTAGAAAACGTGGCCAGCCCCAGGTTCAGAGGTATGAACAGAGGGGCCAGCAGGGTGGGTTTCACACTTTTATTCAGAGTCGGGGCAGGAGTTGTCCCCATGGCAACCCTTTGCTTCTGTTCTAGCAGCCATGATGCTGGAGGACTGTCGGGAATGGAGGCCTGGGCTGTGATCCGAGCAGGAGGTCTGAGGCAGGGGGCTGGCATGGTCCCTCACAGAAGGGCCCAAGGGAGAACTGCTGGGTCCTCAGCATGGTGGGGCCCAGGAGGCTGGAGACCTATCTACTCTCAGGGGGAGCAGGAAAGGGAAGGAGGAACTTCCTCAGGCTGCCCTTTCTGCCTGCGCTATAACTTCTGAAGGTCTGCTCATGCGGAGCAATCTGGCCGCCCCCCGCCCCCGAGACTGACCTGCTACATTTACCCTACGGGCACCTGCAGCTGGTGGCAGCCTGCCCCCGGCTCTCTGAGGACATTGTCACTTGAGACAGGCCCAGAGAAGCACCCCCATCCCATCATCCCACTTGAGCCTAAGGCCCAGGGCCTTCCCAGGGAGGGCCAGAGCAGTGCCGGCACTGACCCATGGGTTATGGCAAAGTCGGAGATAGAGGCTGGGTATCTATGAGAAAAGGCCCTCTTTTGCTGCCTGACTCATCAAGCACAAATGTCTCCACCCCGTTGCTCCATGAGGTAAATGATGTGGGATCATATTTTAGAAATATTAACCTATGCTCTGCCCACTGGACAGCAGACCTACAGTGTCCATTGCCACAGGGGAGGGACGATACAGCAGAAACCTGGTCTTGGTTTTGGAATTTGGCCCTCAAGGTAGGTGGCAAGAAATGCAAGACACAGACAGTGGACTTGGAAGAATGCATGGTGGGTTAGAAAAAAGGCCCCAGTGGTAAAAATGCCATAGCTTGATGGGGGTTGGGGAAGCAAAGAGACTGTGGAGATCTCTGAGGTCCACATTTCTGGGGTCCCTGAGAAGAGGGGCCCTGAGAAGGGAGCTGTGTCTGAAGGGAGGGAGGAGTGTGACAAATACCCCAGAGAGGTTTGGAGATGACAAGGGTAGAAGAGCCCTGTGCCCTATGTTTCCAGGGTGGAGGCCGAAATAAAGCAAAATGCAGAATAAAGCAGACCACTTGCTGTCCGTCTGAGCAGATGGGCTTGGGACTGCCCTGCAGAGCTTCCCGAAGCCCAGAGGGGTGCAGGCCCAGGAGCTAGAATGTCCTCATGCCCCAAGAGCAGGCAGGTCCAAGGAGGCTTCGTGGTAGGGACTGAGGGAGCACCTAACAGGCGCCAGGCCCACCAATGACCAACCAGTGACAACCAGATGGGAATGGGATTGTTTTAGCTGGTGCTGACATGCATGGGTGATGATGACGGAGGAACAAAGTCTCATGCTACTTAAAGTCTTCCCCCCCCCTCACCGAATTTAACCCCAGGCAAAGGTGGGGGATGAGCCCCAGACTGACTGAGATTAATTTCTCCCACCTGGTGAAATGGGGCTCATAATAGAAACTCCATTCAGTGTTAGAAAAATAAAGTTTCCTGCAGATGAGAGTTTGTCGACTGAGTTGTATTTACTACATAATTAACTAATTCATATCTTCTTTGTGGTTTTGTTATAAATAAAAGATGGAAAAAGAAATTTCGGTGGGGTAACGCTCTATGTGCCAAAGAAATGCCAGTTGTAGTGTTTGTCCATCACAGACTTCCCTCGTGTCTTTGAGTTCAGAAAGCACAAGGGTCTTGCCACAGGTTCAGGTCAAATGACTGGCATTTTCTGAGGGAAACTTCTACAATTCAAGTTCATGCGTGGTTCTTTTTCTTTTTGTTTTCTCAACGGTTCATCCTCAGTGATCCAAACCCAGGCCGTCCCTGGGGAATGAGAACAATGTTTGCTGGTGCTCAGGATGAGAATGGAGGGAGGACCCCACTCAGCAGACTCTACCCAGAGCTGCTATTCCACGGCGACCACCAGCAGCCCTGAAACGACAATGCTGGGAGGAGGAGGCG